GAATGTCTGTTTATCTCTGCTTAATATTCAATAAAGCTCTTTGTAAAAGAAATATTATATTCTTATCAAAGTAGATAGAAACTACAAATGGCTGATGAGTACCATGTAAGGTGAATCCATTTACAGAAAAAAGAAACTAAACTCAGGAAACGAGAGAGAAGTTCCGAGTAAAACTCAAAACTAACTCTTTACACATCTAAAAATGGGGGCATTATACAAAATAGATGGCAGTTAACCTTGGCGCCACTCACACGCAAATATGCGGCCTCTCAGTGTCTGGGCCTTGACGCCGAGCAGCCGCATATTTGCGTGCAATTAGAAAATACAGATGCGCTGAGAGCGCGTGCCCTGCACGCTCCCAGCACATATGTTCACGACTCCTGGAAAGGTCCCGATCTCCCCTTTCGATCAGGACCTTTTCCAATCATGTGACAGCGAATTACGGCGGTCACATGACCCTAAAACCCGGCCCCGCCTCCCGGCTTCTGAAACCAATTTGAAGCCAATGTCAAGAGGTTAAAAAAGACATATTTCCTTACAGCACCCAGGGTGGATCACTTAACACGCCTTTTCTCTATGGATTAAAATTATTTATAAACAATAATCTTGAAATTAAATAAAAAATAATAATCATAGCAAAGAAACACAAACAGTAAAAAATGGTGGTTTCCTCTAAGTGATTAATGACCCCTCTACATTGATGGTTAGTGGAAAATTGTTTCTTTGGCATTGGCGGTCAGTGTAGCTGGGAGATCAACCTGCTCAGGGAACCCATAGACACCACAAGTGGGACCCTGGTTGAGAGAGACTGCTCTACAAGAATTAATTGTTCTCACTTAGAAATGTTCCACGTTTGCTGGCTGACCCTGTTGACACATTTAATATTGCATCTCTGTGAGCACTCTGCAATAAACTGCAGTCAGACGCCACCAAATTAATGAGCGCAATTTAAACACTTTCTTGCAGACATGATTTTGCTTTGAAAGAATAGCTGGATTTGTGCAAAAAACTTTGTTAGGTTTTTGTTTCATTTATTAAGTAATTTAAGCGATTCATCATAATCCTTATGTTAAAATGATTCATTTTCAGAATGATTTGTTGTTTCTGGAGAATATACAGTGAAGGAAATAAGTATTTGACCCCCTGCTGATTTTGAATGTTTGCCCACTCACAAAGAAATGATCAGTCTAAAAATCAAATGGTAGGTGTATTGTAACACTGAGAGACAGAATAGCAACAACAAATTCAACAGAAATGCATGTCTAACAAATTATGCACTGATTTGCATGTTCATGAGAGAAATAAGTATTTGATCCCGTATCATTCAGCAGGATTTCTGGCTACCAGGTGTCTTTCATATAGGTAACAAGCTGAAATTAGAAGCAGTCTCTTAAAGGGAGTGCTGCTAATCTCATTTTGTTACCTTTATAAAAAACACCTGTCCACAGGAGCAATCAAACAATTAGATTTCAAACTCTCCACCATGGCAAAGACCAAAGAGCTGTCCAAGGATGTCAGGGACAAGATTGTAGACCTACACAAGGCTGGTCTGGGCTACCAAACTATCGCCGAGCAGCTTGGTGAGAAGGTGATAACAGTTGGTGCAATCATTCGCAAATGGAAGAAACACAAAACAACTGTCAGTCTCCCTAGATCTGGTGCATCATGCAAGATCTCACCTCGTGGAGTGTCAATGATCATGAGAACAGTAGGGAATCGTCCGAGAACTACACGTGAGGATCTTGTTAATGATCTCCAGGCAGCTGGGACCACAGTCAGCAAGAAAACAATTGCTAACATACAAGGATTAAAATCCTGCAGTGCCCGCAAGGTCCCTCTGCTCAAGAAAGCACATGTCCAGGCCCGTCTGAAGCTTGCCACTGAACATCTGAATGATGCAGAGGAGGATTGGCTGAAAGTATTCTGGTCAGATGAGATCATAATCGATCTCTTTGGCATCAACTCAACTTGCTGTGTTTGGAGGAGGAGGAATGCTGCCTATGACCCCAGAACACCATCCCAACTGTCAAACATGGTGGTGGAAACATTCTGCTTTGGGGGTGTTTCTCTGCTAAGGGGACAGTACAACTGCACTGTATCAAAGGGACGATGGACGGGCAATGTTCCGTCAAATCTTGGGTGAGAACCTTCTTCCCTCAGCCAAGGCATTGAAAATGGGTCATGGATGGGTGTTCCAGCATGAGAATGACCCAAAACACACGGCCAGGGCAACAAAGGAGTGGCTCAAGAAGAAGCACATTAAGGTCCTGAAGTGGCCTAGCCAGTCTCCAGACCTTAATCCAATTGAAAATCTGTGGAAGGAGCTGAAAGTTCGAGTTGCCAAACGTCAGCCACCAAACCTTAATGACTTGGAGAGGATCTGCCAAGAGGAGTGGGCCAAAATCCTTGCTGAGATGTGTGCAAACCTGGTGGTGAACTACAGCAAATGTATGACCTCTGTGATTGCCAACAAGGGATTTGTCACCAAGTACTAAGTCATGTTTTGTGTGAAAGGGATCAAATACTTATCATATTTTTTGCTCCATAAGATGCACCTAGATTTTAGAGGAAAACAAGAAAAATAATATTCCAAACCAATAGACTGCAGACATAGTACAGGAGATGACCAGAGACTGCGGACATAGTACAGGAGATGACCAAAGATGACCAGGAGATGACCAGAGACTGCGGACATACTACAGGAGATGACCAGAGACTGCGGACATACTACAGGAGATGACCAGAGGCTGCGGACATAGTACACGAGATAACCAGAGGCTGTAGACGTGTACAGGAGATGACCAGAAGCTGCAGACCTTTGGGAGGGGGGGGGCGGGTACCCGAATTCGACAGGTACCCGCTCCCACTTCCACGGAGTTATCCTCCCCGTAGTCTTGTGGGACACGTGACAGGTCCCAGAAGACTACAGGTGGCCATTCACAAAGCACAGCGCTTCTCGCGCATGCACAGTGGGCACCTGGCTGTGAAGCCGCAAGCTGTCACAGCCGGGTGCCCACACTGAAGATGCCGGCTCCAGGGAGAGAAGACTGCCAGTGAAAGCAGGACACCGCTGGACCGAGGAGCAGGTTCTTCTGCACAGTAGAGCCAAGTGGCCAGCCCGGTATGCTAACAGGGCGACGGCGGGAATACCAGGCTGGCCGCTCCATATTTGTTCCATAAGACGCACAGGCATTTTCCCCCATTTTTGGGGGGGAACATAGTGCTACTTATGGAGCAAAAAATACGGAATTTCCCTCATGAACATGGAAATCAGTGCATAATTTGTTAGACATGCATTTCTTTTTAATTTTTTGTTGCTATTCTGTCTCTGTGTTACAATACACCTACCATTCGATTTTTAGACTGATCATTTCTTTGTGGGAAACATTCAAAATCAGCAGGGGATCAAATACTTATTTCCTTCACTGTATATTCGTTGTTCCGAATCGATTTGTATATTTTTGGAAGTTCTGGTTTTCTTTTGTTATTCTGGAATATAGGCTATATTAATTTTAACATAATTAATTAATATGTATTCGACTATGTAATTAAGTTGAATTAATTTCCTCATTCCCAACTGACCTTATTTGTTGGGCTGCGTATATAGAAATAAGCAAATAGTCTCTTCAAAACCCATAAAAAAAAGAATCCTATTAGAATATTCACGGTAAGCTCACTAGAATAAAAATGAATGGATCTGAATCAATTCAGATCATTTGTTATGATGTTACGTTTTTTTTGGATATTTCAGGCATTAACAAAAGGCCCACACTCTTGCATCATGTCATCTGGATGAAACAAATTAGTACATCTCCTGTAGTATGTCTGCAGTCTCTGACCATCTCTTGTATCATGTCCGTGGGGGTGACACCATGCTTTACTGCACCAGGGGACAGAAGCGCAAGTTAAATGCGCATATCATAAATATCATATCCAGAAAGGGACCCTGGTGGTCATCATGGATCTGGTCACAACCTGGGGGGAGGGGGGCTCCAATGGCACATACACACCAGACAGCACTCCAGACCTCGCAGCAATCCAATCCAGCTCACAGGGGGATCTGGCGTCACAGCAGGGACACAGGGATAACTCCTTAAGCGAATCCAGCCACTTTGCACCGTTTGGAACCAAAGGTACTACTCCACCTTAAATGGCTCAGAATGAAGCCACCAAACAGAGGTATTAGCTCAATGTATCAAGATGGCCGCCAGACCTACATGCGGCCTCGGCAGCGTGACGTCAGCGTGGCAAGGCTTCTCCCTGATGCGTTTCATGTGAAGACGTTAAGACACTTTGATAACGTGTCTTCACACGAAACATGTCAGGGAGGAGCCTTGCCGTGCTGACGTTACGCCGCCGAGGCCGCATATAGGTCCGTTATCAGATATTCACATTCATTTTGTCATTTTATTGATTGATGTTATGTTCATCCATTCACTACTGCACTTGTCACTTTGCTGACAATTTTGGAGTCCACTAATTTTGCGCAAATTTGCGCACTATGCACATAGTCACTTTATTTCCAGCGCTGCATATATATTTTAAGGTTTTTATTATCTGTTTCACCATTGGGAAGATGTGCTCTCTCTATGTGTTCTGGAGATCACTGTCAAATCAATTGAACAAGAATTGATGTAAAATACTAATGTTTACAAGCGTCATTGGAGCAGGAGTAGTAGAGAGATCTTTGCATGGGAACAACTAAAAAGGGAGCTCCCCTCAAGAATAATACAAATTGGACTATTGATGAAATAAGATCTCAAAATTTGGTTGTATTGACCAACTTAGGTCATTTTATGAACTAAGATGAAATCCAGGAAAACTCCATAGGAATCAGATCAGCTGCAACTTCTGGAGACTATTGCTTCTCTCCTGTTAATGTTGTTAATGTATATTTAAAATTGGTGGTTATATCATGAAACCATAGAAAAGTCAAGGAATTTCTTTAGTTTGTCTAATATTGCATACCTCTAAGATTTAAAACAATCTAACATGCTTCAACACTTTCACAGGGACCAGAGCCAAAGCCAGGAGATTTGATAGAATTTTATCGCACAGGCTATCGGCATTGGGGTGTATATGTTGGAGATGGATATGTTATACATTTAACAGGTGAGGATACATAAATATACAGATCTGATCTTTCACTTTTTTTTACTATGAATGTTCTAAACCAGTGGTCTCCAAACTGTGACTCTTTGCTTGCCTTTGGACCCTTGAGGCATTATTCCTGCCACTGACAACAACAATGAGGCAAAATTCCTGCCACTGACACCAACAATGGGGCACCAACTATTTCTTCCCCTGATACCAAAGATCAGGCATTGCTTACTTCCACTGGGCACAGCCAACCCCACTAAAGTCTGAAGGACAGTAAACTGGTCCTTTCTTTGGAAAGTTTGGAGACCCCTTTTTTTAACAATATTTTCTCTCATACATTGTACATTTATTATTGTTAATATACATTTTTTGTAAATCTGTTACTTTTTAAGGCCTAACTCCAGGCAAAACCTTTTTTTAAGATTTGAAAAGAAGGGCTAGAGATTTTATCATGTTTTGTCTGTGTCCCCATTGGAGAGATCTTTCTTCACTTTATATAGGGACAGTGATAGCTAATCTTTTTAGTTCAGACATAGTCTGTAACTATTATTTTTTTATAGGTGGAAGGGTAAGAACCTTTCTCTGGTTATCATAACTGTCTGTCTTACTGCCTTTGATAACCATGGAACTGCAAGTGATGCATTTATTTTAAAACAACCAAACCATTCCAGAATGCTTCAATTACCTGTGGAGATAGGAAAAAAAAAAGGGAAGTGGTAGCGGGAGAGAAACTTCTAGAGGGTTGTTGCAGTGCCATGGGGTTACCTTGGTGCCCTCTAGGCTCTTTGAAATTCCTTCACCCTACCGATTTCTTGTCCTGCTGCCAAAGGTAGAAATAATGAGGCAGAATGTCTCCCAACAGGATCCTGTGTAGAGCAATAAAAAATTAACAAACGACAACCTTGCAGCCTGCATCTTTAAAATCAAATTAGTGTTGGCACCTCCTATATTTTTCTCCTCACCAGTTCTTTTTTTATAGCAGTTACTAACTGTCTTCAAATATAAAAATAACTTCATAATCTTTCCAGAGCTCAACTGGAACCAAAGCTAGGGTGATATAACATTGAGCATAGCTCAAAAAACCAAGCGGTTCCTCTCCTCTCATCATATTTGATGACCTGTAGTAAAGTGTGGAAGCCTTGATGGGATGACTAGAACCTAATCTTCCAAGGTGTATCCAGTATTTTCCTAATAAAGCTGCATGGGTGGTAAAGTTATGTCTGGGTAACTGTTTACTAGGACCAAAGTCACTGCATGAACACTGTAATCAAACAGACATTTTGAAGTAGTACCACCTTTAGTCAGGTCTAGTAGATAAGTCAGTCTTTTGGTCAGGCCTAAAGAACTGAAATTTCAGTCAAGCTGCTAGCAACGTTTTTAACACCTGTCCTCTGGATCTGCAACAGGAACATGGATTTATTAGGCTTGATTTTACATTAAAATGGTTGTAAACCTCAAACTTAAAATATGAACAAAACAGAAGTGTTATTTCTGTCTGCTGCTTAGTTCCTCTGCAATTTACATGAAACAGGTCTGACAAGTTTTCCTGACACCAAAAGACAAATGATGACAGAGGAGGGACCTCCAGCTGATTGACAGCCTCAGCTCTGTTCATGTGAGCTGTGTGTAGGAAAGTGTGTCCCTTTCCTCCAATTATCTCTCAGAGCTCTCCTCACTGAGCTCTGCAGCATGTAATTTCAGATCTCTACCCCTTTTTTTTAGAACTTTTAGACTAGCTTAGAGAAGGCTGCAGATACAACTGTATGTAGGAGAATTTGTTTCATCTCTGTGTATTACCTAAGCCCAGTCACTTCACTGGGGATATGTAAGCGTTTACAACCAATTTAATGGAATGGAGTCATGTAAACCTTGTGAATTACTTTTAATCAAATCACTTTATCATTTCTAAGATTTGGAATATGTTTCCAAAAGACATGGCGGAAGAGTGGAGAGTGCAAAAGCTGGTGCAGCTGTGTATGGAGACCAGGGCGGTGCTACTGCTAGGCAGACTAGGCAGCTGCCTAGGGTGCACTGTCGTCTAGGTTGCAACCAGGGCTGAGATGGGGGGGGGGGGGGGGGGGGTTAGCTGTGATGAGAGCTCCTGCTGCTACAAGCTGACACAAGAGAGTGACTCTTGTTAGCACAGAAAGTGACAGACCAAATCTATAAAGGAAGAGAGAGCTGGGAGTAGGCTGTGATCTCTCTCCCCTCCAGCTCCACACTTTTGCCACTGCAGTGCTCCTGATTGAGATTGTCAGACAAAGAATGTGGTTGGGGGCTGGGTAAACACACCCTGCACAGTCCCGATCTGACAGCCAGTGCTATTGCTAGTGCTGGTCCCTGGTGCAGCATTCCTGTGCCTGGCAGCCCACAAGCTAAGGAGGGAGCGCAGGTGAGAGGAGCATACAGCCTGCAAGGTGAGGATGAGCCAGGAGACAGCCTGCAAGGTGAGGATGAGCCCAGAGGCAGCCGGAAAGGTAAGGAGGAGCCCGAGGCAGCTTGCAAGGTGAGGAGGAGCTCGGAGGCAGCTCACAAGGTGAGGAGGAGCCCGGAGGCAGACCTGCAGCTGAGGGATGTGTGTTGATGACTGGGGAGGACTGTATTGGGGACCTAAAGTAAAAGTATTTGTGCTGGGGATAAGAGTGTGCTAATAGGGGGAAAGGAGATGATGATTAATTCTAGGTAGGGGTATTTGTGCTGGAAAAGGGGAATTTGGGGATAACAGGGATAGGATTTGTTGTAGGAGGATTATTTTTTTTTTTGGGGGGGGGGGGGGGATTTGGGGGCACACAGAAGTAAAATTTGTTCTAGGAAGGGGAATTTGTTCTGAGAGAGGGAATTTGGGACAGGAGTAAGATTTCTTCTAGGAAGAGTGATTTGGTAAGGGATTTGTGCTGGTCACCCTAGCTACGGGCTGTTTTAATATTTTCTGCTGTTTTTAAAAATGTTGCAGTGTATTTTGGTGGGGGGTTGCAAGTACAGTTGCAAGAAAAAGTATGTGAACCCCTTGGGATTACGTGGAGTTTTGCATGAATTGGGTATAAAAATATGCTCTGAACGTCATCTAAGTCACAACAATAGAAGAACATAGTCTGCTGAACATAATACTACACAAACATTAGATTAATAACTGGTTGACCCTCCTTTGGCAGCAAAAACCTCAACCAAACGTTTCCTGTAGTTGCACATCAGACCTGCACAACGATCTAATTTTGGACCACTCCTCTTCACAAAACTGTTTCAGTGTAGCAATATTCTTGGGATGTCTGGTGTGAATTGCTCTCTTAAGGTCATGCCACAGCATTTCAATCGGGTTGAGGTCAGGACTCTGACTGGGCCACTCCAGAAGGCGTATTCTGTGTGTTGCAGCCATTGTTTTGTTGAATTACTTGTATGCTTTGGGTCATTGTCCTGTTGCATCACCCATCCTCTGCGGAGCTTCAGTTGGCAGACAGATGGTCGTACGTTTTCCTGCAAAATGTCTTGATAAACTCTGGAATTAATTTTCCCATCAATGACAACAATCCGTCCAGGCCCTGAGGCAGCAAAGCAGCCCCAAACCATGATGCTCCCTCCGCCATGTTTTACAGTGGGGATGAGGTTTTGATGTTGGTGTGCTGTGCCTTTTTTTTCTCCATACATAGTGATAGTCAGGTCTATCTCTACATACATTAGGTTTGACATGCTAAAGAACAAGAATATGTTCACTTTACAGAAATGTCAAATGGATAACTCAATATGGTGATGGTGTTAGTAGTAATTTACCATATTCAACTGGACGTGTTTTGTAATGTTGAAGACATTTAACAGCCTATCCAAGCCTATCTCTTAAGCAGGCCGTAGATTATGCAATTTTCTTTCCTTTCACCATGGATGGAAGAAAAGAAAATTGGTACTGCTGAATCTTATATTCATTTTTCACATGACTGGGCCATTAATATTCCTAACTATGTTCTTTTTCGCAGAGACAGGGTAAAAAGGAAAGGCGGTGGTGTCTGTCTCTAAGTGAGAAGTGATCTCAGAGTGAGTGTGAAAGAGGACCTAGTTGATGGAGAGTGTGATGAGGCTGAAGCATTATGGGTGGAACTGCACATGGGGGTGGGTACTACAATAGGTAATAATTGGAGTTTGTTATAGGCTTTCTAGTGTTAATGAGGAGGTAGAGACTCATCTCCTTGCACAGATCGAATGAGCTGCAAGGGCTGGGACAGTGATAATAATGGGGGATTTTAACTACCCAAAAATTGACTGGAGTAATGGTACTGCAGGAACAGTTAAAGGGCAAACATTTATAAACCTACTATAGGACAATTTTATGGTACAGTTCATAGAGGCCCCAACTAGGAATGATGCTCTGCTTGACCTGGTTATCTCAAACCATGCTGAGCCTATTATGAATGTCCATATAAAAGAACATCTGGGTAGCAGTGACCATAACATGATTTAATTTATTGTTAGCTGTAAACAACATGCACATACTGGAAAAATAAAAATGCTCAACCTTAAGAGAATGAGCTAATTTTCGAAGGCTCAGAGCTGCTCTCCAAGACTTAGACTGGGAGGGAATATTGGCATCAATGAACACAACACAGAATGTGAACACACTGCAAAATATATTCCCATGGGCAATAAGTTTAAATGCTAAACCTATGTGGCTTATGGCCAAAGTTAAAAAAGCTATAGATAAGAAAATAGCTTTTATTAAATATAAAAATGAAGGAACACTATCATCGTTTAAATATTACAAACAATATAACAGAATATGCAAAAAGGAAATAAAGGCCACAAAAATTGAAAACGAATGACAGATTGCAAAAGATAGCAGGACAAACCCCCCAAAATTCTTCAAATATATTAATAGTTAAAAGGTCAGGTCTGAGCATGTAGGCCCTTTACAAAATAATCTAGAGTGGGTGACTGGGGACAAAGAGAAGGCAAATGTAATAAATACCTTCAGCTCTGTGTATACAAAGGAGCATGGGGGAGCTCTTGTCCATAATGGGCAAGGTATTGACAGCTCCAGA